TATCAGCTTCCTTATCAAACAGTGTCCACTGGTTATTTACTGATGATTTTAATACATTTAACTTGTTTTTCCTTAATTCTGATTTACATGGATAAACATATGAAGTTTTTGTGATTTTGTTTCATAGTGGTGTTTCAAGTTACTGTCTTTGTAATGACTGAGGGCCACATGGCAGGCTTACTTCCTTTCATGGTGAATACAAAAGCTTCCTCCCAGTTTGTTTTCATCTTCATATTTTCATTTCTTACAATTTGAGGAGGCCATCTTCATTCACAAAATTTTCACAGACACTTTTAAACAAAACTTGTATCTGAAGTGTATCAACTCAGTCTGCACAGTTCAATGTCTTCCGTTACACTGCATGACATGTGTGCGGTTTTCTTAATCCCCTAACCCATGACTTCAGTCTTTTGATATTCCTCTGTAACACTTGCTGACCGGAAATTTCTTCAATCCCTCTGCCACTTTCCCTCAGCACTAAAGAACAATGACTCACTAAGATCTATGAACACTAAACTTGTGTTTTAATCCAATGGGGTTCCAATTCATATCCAGTAAATATTTATAAAACTTGAAATTTTTCTTTAACTTTTATGTTAACTGTGATGAAAAAAGGAGCTCAGCCAACATATTTCCATGAGCCGCATATTAAAGGTCAAAGGCTGCATATTAAAGGTCAAAGAGATGCATGTGGCTTGCAAGCTGTGGTTTGACTACTATTGTTCTATAGAAACAGACTTACTATTTTATCTATAAAGCAAATGTCTGCGACATATATTGGTTTTTTAAGAAATTTTAAGTGTCTTAATTCTTTTGTCAGCACAATTCCTTGGAGACTTAAATTTTTTTTTTTTATAACTAAAATCTGTTCTGAATTGTAAAATAAGAAATGAAATAAAACTAAATAATTATTTAATTAGAAAAGTTATTTTATTTATAAAAGCAATTAAATGCTTTTATAAATAAGTTATATTATAGACACTATTGTCTTAAAATTTTTTTTTTTTTTTGAGGAATAATGAATATTTACAAGAATTATTTTCATTTTTGAAAATTTTAATTATAATATATAATGTCTTAAATATTTTAAAATTCTTTATTAATTTGTAATGGTTAGTTGATATTGTTATTAAGCAAAAGCTATATTTACTAATCATAAATGGAAAAGCTTACTACAATTGAGTGAACCCCAGTATTTTAAAAAAAAATTTCAATTTTTTGTGTGTATAAATGTGCCAATGTTTGTAAATATGGACATCCATACATGATACTATCAGAGAATAAGAGTAATAAGTATAGTGATTTTAAAATTTAATAAAATATTAGATTATCAAGAATATTTTTCTAAATTTTAAAATTACTGTGTAGTTAAAAATTATATAAATAGGTGCTGAAAAAAAATTGCACACTTATGTCAATAGAGATAGTTGTCAACACCTCATAAAACCAGTCCTCTGTGTTAAAAAGTGCTTCTCTGCAATATTTTAAACTAAAAGTAATGATTCAAATCAAATTGATTAAACTTTAAATCAGCTAATCTTCCTCAAATAAAGTATATTTATTTTTGAAAGATATTTTTTAATAAAGAGAATTATGTTACCCTGAGATTTGTAATTATGACTAAAATCAGCCATTTTTAGTGATTTAAATAATAAAAAAAAAAGAATTCCAATCAATTTAAATTTGTTTTGAAATATAGCCAAGTATTTTGTTTATTGTAAATATTGAATTTCATCTATTAACTTGAAATTAAAACTAAAATAAAAGCTTCAATAAAAAATTTTGTTTGGGGTGAAATGATTAGGAATTTTGTTTTGAATTAATATGACCTTCATTTATTTTTTTTCATTTTGAGAAAAATAAACTTTGTGTTAAGTTTATGACTTACATTTACATAAGACAAAAATATATTAACAAATGGGATTAATATTTGAATTTCATTTAGTAAATTATTGTAATTTATACAAAAACATTTATTTCCTTTGTAATTTATGTTTTACAGATCAGGTTTTTAAAGTAGAAGTAAATACTGGTGCACAGTAATAATGGCACAGGTAAAAATTGCGCAAAACAAAAACATACAGGAAAAAAAAAATGAATGTAATACATGCCCCAGTTGATAATACTGCAGTTTCTGCTGTTTTTGCTTGTCTGCAAAATAAGATACAAGACACATGAAACACTATTACAAGCAGTCATGGACTGCTGCCATGAGATTGACATCTACCCAGACCTAACAATCATAATTGTTGACTTTAAACATCAACACCATCCAGGCTATTAACAGTATTTTTGAACTAAAAACATGCATATAAGGCTGTTTTTACCATTTGTCTCAGAGTACTTGGTGAAAAATACAAGATTACAAAAAGAATGAGGACTTTCGTCATTTCTGTGGTCAAATTGACTCAATGGCATTTCTACCAGCAGGAATGCAGTTACTTAAGGCAAGATGTCCTGATGAGGCAGCTCCCTTGCTAGAGTACTTTGATCAAACTTACGTTTCTGGTACATATGTTCAAGAAAGAAGACAAAACTTTGAGCCAGGCATTTCAACAGTAAATTTTTGGCACATCCCAACAAGATTTCCACCAGAACTTTGGAATGTATATCAAGCTACCATGAATGACTGTCCCAGAATCAACAACCGATGTGAAGGATGGAACAACAAATTTTACCCTCTTCTTGTTGGTTATCAGCACCCATCTATCTGGAAACTGATGAGAATGTATTTAGAAGGAAGAAGCTATTATGAGTGCAGTGATAGCAAGGGACTTATTTGGTGAACCACTAAGAAAGAAAACAGAAAATATATGTTGATCTATAAAAAATACTAAAAAAATTAAGCAGTGACTACACAGAAAGAAGGAAAGATTAGAATCAGGTGTTGGTCACAACATAAGATTTTAGTTTAAATTTTTTGCTTTTAAATGTAGATATAATTTTCTTTTTAATTTCCTACATAGATAATATGTGCATTTCATTTTTTCTCTGTATGTTTTTGCTTTGTGCCATTTTTTTCATATTTTCCCACCTGTGCCATTATTACCTAAATTCGTAAATACCATCACAGACTTAGTTTAAAAAAATTAAACACGCATTTTAAATAATTTAAATTCTTCGAATTTTTTGTTTTATTTGAACGATAGACTAAAGCTAATCTGTAATAAAAGAAAAAAAAATTACGTTTTGCAATAAGCTTTTTTGAATACTTACATTATTCGGACTATTATCCTGATCTTCATTACCATATTCACAATGTTTTGGACAAAATGTTGTTAATATGGTAATGGAGATGAGGATAACAGTCCGAATAATGTAAGTAATCATAATAATACCTCATCTCAGAAATATACACATTAAAACTTTTCTGAACATTTTTAAAGCATTGGCAGTCACTCGACAGTCATTATTGACAAAAAATAAAAACAAATTTGAGAATCTCTTAAAATTCCAATATTTGTCAGAGATTTTTTTAAATAACGAAATTTAAGGATTAACTGTATTTTGAAAAAAAAAATAGTACTTATTTCTTAAAACATAACTTTTACATACTGTATTCCATGATCTGTCAAGGTCAATGATACTAATCTTTTATTAACCTGCCTTTAAAGCTCTGAATTAAGTAAATGACCAAAATTACTTGGACAGAGAAACTGGTATTTTTATGATTAAAAATAAATTATATAACCAATAGTTTATAAATATGGGTAATTTTTTTTATTCTATAGTCTTTATAATTTTATTTTTATACAATTTAAAAATATTTAAAAAATAATTAAATCATAATTTTGATTCTAACTTATTGCATTTATTTTTGCCTTTCTGGCTATTTTCTTAGATATTCGATGTCATAAAATATTTAACTGCACTCGCTGTTTCTTTTTAATTATTCTGATTTTAAAATTTATTAACCTAGGAAGTGTTATAAAGGGACAAATTGATTGTAGTTACTAGTTACAGAATTACTTCCTTTTTGAACTTCCGTACAAAAAATAAAAATAAAATAAAGTTGCAAAGATGAAAAAAAATATATAAATAAAATTGTTTTAAAAATGTTCATACTTGAAAATAGCATTAAAATGTGCATTTTATATTCTTCAAACATAACTTTATTTAATAAAAAAAAAATCTGACATCAACAGCCACAGGATCGAATTTCAAAATCGTGATGAAAAATTAGTAATTACAAGTAAAAATTTAAAATAAATAAATATTCAATGTAGATTTTTCCTGTCAAATCTGAAAGTATGTTTTAAATTTAATTAAATTATGCAAGCTGAAGTACCAACTGTTAAAAAAAATATTTTGAGTTTTTGAATTATTTTTGGTGAGGATTATTGACAAATTTTCATTACACGGTTGATATATATTTTCTTACAGAAGAAATATCATCTTCAGAAATATTTCTTTAACTGAAAAAAAAAAAAAAATAAGAGAGAAATCGCGAACAGCTCCCAAATTTAAATTACGATATATCGAAAATGGGGCGGGCGTGAAACAGACCCCTTCCACCCCCTCCCCAAAAAATATTCCCATAGTTTTCTAAAATAAAGACCTAAGTAAAATGCAATCATAATGAAGAAGATTGAAAAAGTACTGAATTTCATTTAAATCACCTGATTTTTTTTTTTTTGTATAAAGCATTTGATTAACGTGGTTTTTGCTTTCATTATCGAAAATGCGCACACTCAAGCACACAGGATTGAGTTAATTAACTCTAAAAAAAAGTAGAGGGTTTGATTTATTTTATAATTTACAAATGCACCATGATTTTTCTCTTCTTAATTTCTTAATGTGGTCTTCAAATCGTGCTATCTAAATTCATAGTGAGTTCGGCCCTCACTGGGTGCTATATATTTTACGCTGAAAAAAAAGTTTATCAAACATTTTGCGATTTATTAAATGCAAAATATAAAATTGGAATTTTTTAAAAAAAAAACGATATTTATTCACAAAAAAATTATTTTTTGTAAAAAAAAATATTTCCTAAACTTAAACTAAACAGTATGTGGATGCCTATACAACTTAGCGGCCGTTTCAAGAAAATAATGAAGTCTTTCTTCTTCGTGAAAAGCCTTACAAAACAGATATTTGGAAATATATTTGTGGCTTAATTCTCTTTTGTTTCCAGACCGAAGGATCCATGCCTTCACATCCCGCCAACAAGCTTCTATATTTCGCGTGTGGACATCACTTTTGTTGAGAAACTCCTTTTCTTCAGACTGGTTAACGGTGTAGTGAGTAAAGCCTTCGTTAGATAAAGTACTGTATGCCTTCCAACAATTACTATGAATTATGGTATCAGGTAAAATATGTTTCTTAACGATTGGAATTAACGTTCCGGCATCGCGGTTTTCAACAGGGAAAAGAAAAAGTTTCTTTGAGTCCCTTTCGAAGCAACCAAATACCCACTGGCCTTCGAATTCTTGCCCTTCGCGGTTTTGTTTAATCTTACTACTACCGAATATATTTTCACCAATTTCAACCACTTTTCCGTGACCGCCAATTCCTATTTGCTCCTGTTCTGCCAACCAAAATTCACAGACTTCATAGCAGTAATGCTTCCAATTTACAGCTGCCTCGTGCCCGATCTTCAACCATTTGACGATTTGGCGCTGAGTGATAAAATTTTGAAGAAAAAGGGAACAGAAAAGAATGTTTTGTGAAGGTGTTATGTGCGAACGATCGAGCCAGGTATTTTTATTAATTGATACAGAGAAAGAGCATTTTATTTTTCTTGATTTGGAGTCTCTACATATTCTTCGACAAAAGAAAATATTGCTAGATGGCGCAAAGTTGCAAACTGCTCCACAGTTCGGACAGAGTACAGTGTCGGGAAGCACAGAATGCTGTTTGAAAGTAAGAATAGCTTTTGAATCGTCTTTATGGAACATTTTGATAGTATCAAAGAAGTTGTGATAGCAACCGTCACAACGTGTAGAATCCATGATGTTAAAATCAAATAATGGTAAACTTACTAAACTAAAGATTCGGTTTAGTTAAGTAATGTTTTGAAACGTGGAAAGTCTCTTCCGCTTGTTGTCAACCTTTGTGAGGAGAGTTCTTCATTGATGACGTCGCTGTACGACCCACACACACTCCCTGATTTTGTGTGCAAATCAAATGTAAATTTTTTAACATACAGAAACCTAAAACGAAAAACATGATCAAGTTTTAATAATTTGGAATTAGTTTTAGAAGGTTTAGTAACAGAAAAATGCACAAAAATATTTTAAAAGGTTTTATTGAAAAATATAACAATTATGAACGTAATTTAATGAAAAAAATTCGCAACTTGAAAAACAGACAAAGACAAAGTAAGTAAGGCTCTTTAGCTTTAAACATTATAAAATCGACCTTACCCAGTAATCATTAAAACAAATAATTTCCTGAAGAAATGAATGTCCATAGTCGTTCAAAGCATACGTAACTATTACGACTACAAGCGTTATTTTGTGGATATTCATGTTTGAGACGTCCTTTTTTTTTTTTTTTAATTTATTTTTGTTTTTAATTACGTTGCTGACCTGCGTATTAAAGAAACTTTTAATATTTATTTAACTTGTTTGAATTCTAAAATAAATGCTTTCATTATTAATTTTCTTAAGTTTGTCTTACACTTTTTTTACAGTATTCTTGGACAGTAATTACTCACGGGTTGTTCAAGTAAGTAGCGTATATAACTAAAAGTGGAATTTTTGGTCATTTTGTTGTTTAAAATGTAACAATAATTGAATAAAGCTACTTTTAATTGTTTTTATGTTTTTATTTTTAATGACGTTACAGATTTTTTTTGAATGCTTCCGGAATTTATTTATTTATTTCCATTATAGAAAGAACAGTAGTAAACACAGACTCTGTGACTGCCTTATTATAAATGGCGGAATTAGGAAACCAGCAATATGGGTAGTGAAGCACAGGAATAGATTGTTTGTGTGTGTGTGTGTTTATTTCTCGCCCCATGAGTTACCGTTGAATTAAAAGGTGATTTTTTTTTCTTTATTTTATGACGTGCTTCCAAAAGTTAGAGGAATTTGACCAGCACACTTTAACCGAATGTAGACTAAGTACGGATTTTTGCCGCCACTCTTTATGAGTAGTGTCCTTAAGCATATAAACAGCAGGCTAGCTAGACATTACGAACGTTTTCTTTAAGAAAAGTTGTATTAGGACCTTGTCGCACTGATCCAAGGGAGAAAACTCTTGTAGCCGAGAACGGAGATGCGTGGTTGAAATAAAAGGTTTTCCCGGTTTCCAATGAATCCTGTTGCTTCTTTACTTTATGCCTATCGATAATATCGGTCACTAACCCATATCCATTCAGCCATCGAAATGAGATACGGTGTCAGCGTAATACCCAAGTGACTAAACAAATGTTTACCTGAATATTCTGTAATTCCTGTGAGTACAATATCAAAAATAATGTACAAACCGCCAACGCCTTTTACTTTCCATAACCCAATCTCAGCCCACATGGAAAAGTAGATTTGGACATTTTCGTCTTGCAAGCTTTGGTAGCTCGCAAAAGAAGAGGGCGAAATATTAGTTAGTTCCTTGCGATATGGATCCAGAGGCAAACAGGATTTTCGGGACCTTTGAATTAACTGAACAAGAAAGGACTATGAAACGACTACGAAAGTTGAACGGACATTTCATACCTCAATGTAACATAATTCATGTTCGTGTACAGTTTCATAAGAGGGACCAAAGAAGGAAAGAAACCGTAGAAGAATATGTTAGAGTTCTCTATGAATTGTCGGGGGATGCAGATTTTTTTGCAATAGGGAACAATGCATTAGGGACAGGTTAGTGCTGGGCATTAAAGACCAAATACTCTCTGAAATGTTCCAACTCCAGTCTGATTTCACATTTGACTGCTATTGCTACTGCTTGCCAGCATGAAGCAGTGAAGCTACATTTTGAACAGTACATGGGTACAGGCCATGGCAGGGTTTACAGGGTACACCAAGAGAGGGGATCAACGTCATTCAACAGGTAGAAATTAAATGTGGCATGTGTAGAGCATCCCACCAAAAAGGAAAATATGAAGGCAAATCACGCTTTGCCCGAGTGTTTAGAACAAAAACCACAAAGAATGCGGACGACGTGGATCGTATCATTCCCCAAGGAAAAGCAACGGAGATAGGAACAGTTTTTTCATTGACACAGCCACTCCCAACATGCATCTATGGCGAGCAGATATTAATCTTGACGGGTCAATTTTAAAATTAGTACAGGGGCTACATCATCAGTAAGAAAACATGGACATAACTTGGAAAGCCAAAGCTTTCTCCATCTGTCAAACCCGGGAGGAAACCTAAATGTCTTATGACACTTTAGGAGGAAACTTGATGGGAAGATAAACGTCACCATCTATGTCATCAACTGTGATGTTTACAATCTGCTTAACCGAACCTAGAGTCGATTAAAAGCGCGAACAATGTCGTCTTCAGTGCTGTCAAGTGCAAGCCAATAATAATAAAACTTCAAGAGTGGACAACTCCACACTGTCGCTATAGCAAAGCGCGTTCCCTTTCGTCGCCAAAATAATGTAAGGAAAGAACTCCAGTGTATGAAGGACTATGAGATCATCGAAGGAATTATAAAGTCAACCGAACGGGTATCACCCATAGTCCCAATTTTGCAACAGAGATGTCCGCATCTGTGGACCTGAAGAAGCAGAATCAAATGATGCAGGAAGAGATACGTAATTTCTTTCTTTGGCAACATGGTGCATCAGTTCCGGGGTTCTACAGAGTTTAAAAAATGGAGGCTTAGTCGAGTTTATAGTAGATTCCATTGGATTCAGAAACCGCCAAGCAGGCCACCTTCATAACGCCTTTTGGAAGGTTCTACAGGAAGAGAGTTCTCTTCGGAATCAGTTTAGCACCGGATATCTTCATGAGGTCAGGCTCAGAGATAGTCTAAGTAATATAGGGCGTCGTTTGTTACTTTGATGATATTCTGTTACACACCAAGATGCCAACCGAGCACGAAACACTCCTGAGTCAAGTTCATTAGTAACTAAATGAAGCAGTCCTCAAGCTAAACAAGAGTAAGTGCGAGTACCGGAAATCCGAAATTACTTCTTTTTTTTTTCGGACATATCATTCGCTAGCATAGCTGCCGCTCAAATCAGAACAAAATCGAAGTAATTCAGAACCAAGTTGAAACATCTGATGATGCTGAACTTAGACGATACTTGGATATGGTGAACTACTTGGGTAAGTACTTTTTCCTCAGCTCTTTACTGTTCTGAAGTCACTCAACGAGTAATGAGGGAGTATGGACATAGTGCCCGCAGCAAACCAAAGAATTTCAGAAAGTAAAGGAAATGTTTATAGCAGCGCCGGTCCTTGCTTACTTTGGTCTAGCCATGCAAACCATCGTCGAAGCTGATAGTTCATTGTATAGATTGGGTGGATGCCTACTTCAGGAGCACAAAGGACTGAGACCGATAGCATTCTGTTACAGAACATTGTCAAGCACAGAACAGCGACACGCTCAAATAGAAAAAGAATGCCTTGCAGCATTGTTGGCTTGCGAACGTTTCGACAGATACATGAATAGGCTAGAGAGCTTTACTCTCTACAGTGACCATGTTAAATATTCTAGCAGACTATTATTATTTAGAGAATTGAATTTTCCTCTGACTTCCTCATTTTGATCTTTTGAGGTCAGATACAGGAAAACAAAACGTTTTTGATTGGTTAAAACTAGTGTGGAAATGTTAGAGATAGAAAGTGGTTTCAGGGAGTTAAGTTTTACAAGTCATACACAGTAAACGTGGTTATTTCGTATCTCGGGGAACTTACTTCCTAGTGGGAGTGATAGATCGACCCCACTGGCTATTTAAAAATATACACGTTGACGTGTTTAATAAAATAGATAAGTTTAAAATCCCTTTTGTTGAATTTCTCTTTCATCTCCGGATTCCAAAAACATTTCGACATCCAGCCAGGAAAAGACGAACGAGAGAAGATCCAATATTATTGTATCGACCCTGTCACCTAAGAGACCCCTCGAACGAGAGAGCTATTCAACAACCACTAGCTACTCGTTCCACTCATCAATTCCAAAGGTATGTAAGAAACACCATCGAGATGTCAGTGCATGCTCATTCAACTGATGCGCTACTGATGGTCACGTCAAATACTTTGTCACGGAGTTCTACTGTGTGCAGAGAGACGGGGAACCGATAACTGGAGGAAGGTAGATTTTCATGTCAACATAGTGACTTCCTCTTGGCCAATCTCAAATGAGACGTTGAACCAAATCGGGCAAGGAACCACAGAAAACTGCTTGATTACACAGTGAAGGGTGGCCCATTTACAGGAAAGGTATCAGCTTTGAAGCCCGAGAATTGTCTGACGTTTAGAACGAGCTGAATGCTATTGATGGACAAATGCTAAGGGAAAACAGGATTGTCATTCCTTCCATTCTGAGAAAGAAATCCTGTAACGTATGCACGATAGACACCTGGGCACTACGAAATGACGAGAACGGACAAATCAAGAGGTTTGGTGGTCCAGGATATCAAAAGATTTTCAAGACCGCATCGCAGCATGTAAAAACTGCCTTGAGAAGAGTCCAGTACTACCAAGCGAAACTTTGCTTCCATTAACTTCTACCTGATAGACCATTCCAGCGTATTGCTGTTGATATGTGAGCTGAAAGGACAGAACTATCTTGTCTACGTACATTGACACTCACAAGCTCAATCAACTTACCATCAGTGCTGTCATCAACAGAATGATCATTCGTTTCACAATATGGCATTGCAGAAATTGTTGTGTTAGACAACGGGAGACAGTTTACGTCTGGGGAGTTCCAGAAGCTTGATAAAGACTGGAACTTTTGTCACATAACAAGTAGCCCTCACCTACTCTCAATT